CAAGAACTAAAGAAAATCAAGCAAAAACAGAATGTAGTAAACAAAAAATAATAATACATTCAAGTCACTGTTCAAGGGGCACTCTGCCAAGAGTTACTAAACTGATAAATTCATTAAATGGGCCTATATGACAAAGGATTGAAAGATTAGCATTTCCTCAGTCTGAACCAAGGCAGATTTATTTTTGTTTTCTGAATTTACTAATGAAGTGTGCAAGTAATTTGCCAGAGTCCCCCTAAGAAATTATGACCTCAAATAACAAGACTCACAGATAAGCAAATGCACAATAGCAGGCCTGTTACACTTTAAAAATCAGTTTTGAAGCTTCTTTTTATAATCCACAGGAAAAAAACAACACTGAACATCATGATTGATGTTACAAATGATCAAGATAAATTCATTAATAGAAGACCATCTTAACATTTGCAATGCATATATTATTTTAGTACAATCATTTTATGTATTTTTGTTTGGTTTTTTACAAAGACCTCACTTCATCCAAATGGTCAAGATTCAAGGATTTCCATCAATGAATACATTTGTTTTGACAGGAAGATCAACTCAAAAAAAATCAACTTTCACATCCGTGTTTTCTCAACATAATATTGTGATTTCTGTCTACCTTTACACAACTGTCATTTACAGCAGTAGTTTTTAAGCTAAGGCAAATATAAATGTTCAGTGGTGACCAAATTCCCTTGGAGGCTTGCCATTGCTGTTTAGTTCTTCAGTGGTGCTTAGTCCAAATGGTAATAGCCCAGTGTAATGTGTTGAGTTGATGCGCACGGTTCTTCTCGTTTCCTCCCTTGTCTTGGTCCGTGTGTGCGTCTATTGCTTCAGTTGGTCAACACCGGTCTCCTTTCAGCTCCTCTATTCCCAGAACTCTCACTTATGATCCATTTTTAACACAAGCAGAGTTCCTCGGTAACTTAGTATATACTGTACATTCTGATGAGGCTTGTAAGATTAATAGTACTTATTGAAAATAAAAACCTTTTAGAATGTATTAAGCATACCAAGAGATGTAAAATTGTTGAAACATCAGTGATATAAGAATTTTCTATGTTCTTTGATAAATTGTATGTGTCATGTTCATTTTATAAATTTTCAAGACATTTTAAGCACAACAGGAAGTTGAGTGCTGTATGTTGATTGAATCATGGAATGAGCTCATAGTCGTCACCTCTGCAGCCCATGGACAGGGGGAGGAGGGGGGGCGTACTGTGATGGACAACAGAAGACTGAGTACTGTATGCTCATTGATCACGGACAACCGGAGATTGAGTACTGTATGCTAATTGATCACGGACAACCAGAGATTGAGTACTGTATGCTATAATTGATCACGCTCGGAGCTCATGGTCGAGTCATGGGCAGGAAAGTAGCATTCTGATTAGCTAACCCGTCTGGAAGAGGGGAAATGGCCATTCCCTTCTTTCATTCGAGGTTGTTTTGGTAATGAGTATGAAAAGCAGAAAAGTCCCATTGTTCAGTAGAGTCGTTGTTCAGTAGAGTCTCTGCTGTGGGTTACGTACGGATGCCCAATTACGTGATGCTGTAGCTCTGCCCGGACTGTCGACTCTCCGGTTCACTGTGTCACTGTAAGAGTGGATTGAAAGAATCTAAGCATTACGTATTGTTTGTTGTGTGAATGAATTTGCTGTAATCTGTGGCAGAATAAAAAAACACATTTGTTCTAGCAGAACAGCGTGTTGTCATTATTTATCACCGATCACCCCCGATCCTGCTTAAAATTTCACAAAACAGATGGTATTTTCAACTCCAACTCCATGATAAGCAAACTGCAGTGCGTCTTGATATTAGCTTGTCTGCTTTTTCAGGTGGGCCAACAGGAGTCTGTCCAAGATCTTCATGATGTGGGATGTCAGGGTAACAGGCCTACAGTCGATGACTGATGGGTAAGTTTTCTTTGGTACCAGAACCAGGCAGAATGTCTTCCACAACAGTGGAACCTTTGCTTGGGTCAGGCAAAAGTTTGAGATGTTGCAGAATCACACAGAGGTCTTCAAGAATCTGGGGCTGACACCATCTGGATCTGCAGCCTTTTTCCAGGTTAGTCTCTCCAACTGCCTTTGCACCAGACTTCTAGATACAGAAAAGTAGGAGGGGGAGGCAAAGGGAGCAGCAGCATCTCCTGATTTGAATGACGACAAACTTGTGGAAGCAGAAGACTCCATGACTGAGGGGGAAGATGGGACATTTAAGGTTCACCAGGAAAGCAGTAGGTCAGATATTTGTATGGATGAGGATGATGAGCTTGTTCCTGAGCTGAACTTGTTGAAAAATGTGTCCAGCTCATTTGCTCTGACCAGGCTTCTATCTCTCTGATTCTCCTTTTGTTTGACGCCTTTAAACTTCATCCCTGACCACACATCTCTGCTTTTGTTCCTCTGCAGTTTATTCTCTAGCTTCTTCATGTACTTCTCCTTGCTGCCTCTAATCTTGACTTTGAGCTGCTTCTGTGTACTTCTCAATAACTCCCGGTCATTCCCTAAAGGCTCTTTTTAAGATTCTTTAGGTCACTGGTGATCCATGGTTTGTTATTCTGGAACCATTTCACTGTTCCAGTGGGGATGGTGCCGTCCACACAGAAGTATTCAGTCAGTCACACACTCAGTCCTGGCACTGACGTCATCTCTATGTGGCTGGCTGAGAGTAGTCCAGCCAGATGCTTCAAAACAAGGAGGGGCCCTTCTGCTTCCTGTGACCATTTCCTAACAGCCATCTTTCTAATAGGCAGCCTCTTCACCAGGAGTGAAACAAGAGTTCAATGTCTGGACTACATAGACAACACTTCACAGCAACATGTCCTTGCTGACACCACCTTAATCAAGGTTTATTCATATAAATTAAAATAAAGTTTTTTTATCTTGTCTGACGGCCAAAAAGACCAAAGAACTTTCTTGACCATGGAGTCTTTGGCAAACTCTATGCAAGTCTTGACATGAGTTTTCTTCAACAGTGGATTGTTTCTCACTCTACAAGTTTTGACCGTTGACAATCACAGGGAATAGTTGCCCGCAGAATTTCTCCCATCTCAACTATCGAGTCTTGAAATTCCTTCAGCACAAGATGTCCTCTTTCACTGGTCTCCTTGCATGGTCACTCAGGTTGTGAGGTCTTTAGGCTACATATTCCCTCCAGTTCTTAATTTAACAGAACTCCCAGGGATGTTAAGTGCCTTATATCCATTCTTTGACTTGGACTTTTCAATAAGCTTTTTTCTGATTTGCTTGGAGTGTTCTTTTGTCTTCATGCTGAAAAGGTAGCCATGAATATTCAACACGTGAATGGATCTTCCAGACAATCACAGAACTGCAGTTCACTCATTGTGAGATAACAAGCACCAATTGACTGGATCTCTGTTGAGTTAGTGTTAGAAATATTTAGACTTAGACTCGTACTTTATTGATCCTTTGGGAAGACTCCCTCAGGAAATTGTATAGTATATATTATCTTAAATCTTATGTTTGCTGTGAAGTTGTTTTGTTGTGCAACAACTCCCATTGTTTCGTGAGTTCATCAATTCTTGCATTGTAGCTACAGAAGGAAGCTCCTATGCCCCCGATAAGACACCTCTTTCCGGGGTTACCCCCGGTCTGGGTTAAAGACGTCAGAGGAATGAGGATCCAAATGGTTTGTCAGTTCCAGAAATGCACCCCTCTTCCCATCACTCAGCTCCTTCCTGTTTGAAATGCTTCCCACACTCAGAAATACAAATGTTTTTGTTTTGAAGAAAAAATATTGTTTCCTTCTCTAAACAGAAAAATTAGGAAATATAAAAATTCTTCCCGCCTCCAGTTTCTCTGTCTTGATCAAGAGTCCAGATGACAAAAGTAATGGTTCATATTTCAAACGGTGACTGAGACAGTACTGACAAATAATTCACAACATGCTGATGTTGTTAATCGGAAAAAAAAAAAAAATTCTCTTGTTCCATTTTCTTTTCCAAGGAATTAATGAGAATACAAACATACTAATGGATGAAACTGTTAAACTCTGGATATAATCTTACAAACACTACCTTATTTTTCTAGATATGGGTAGATGAATATTTGTAACATAAATGTCAGTCTAACCAGTACAATATGACGAAAATATATTGGGGAAATGGCTTGCCGACATTTAGTAGAAGACTAAATACAGTATATAATATATAAAACATTTAATCAACGATGAACATATGGGATCCCAGGCTTGGGTTCATTTTCAGCAAGGAACCAAGAAAAGCACAGATTTGGACGTGTAAATGCAGTTTAAAGCAAGCGTTGGAAAACCTGCCGACAACTGGTGCTAAGACAATTTATCTTTTCATCAAGAAAAAAAAAAGCCTTTATAGTTTTATTTTTAAGTCACAACTGCATAGTCTCACCTACAATTTCATGTTTTAAATGCCACTCAGACTTCGATGGCTCCGCTCAGCAGAAAGGTTATGTAGGTTGTGAAAGGAATGACGTCGGTGAAGTGAAAGAAACTTAAATCTTGGGTTCATCATAACTGTGTGTTTTAGACCAAATTAAAATAATAGAAGGAATTTAACAGTTGCACATGGCTGACGTCACTTCCTGAACCCCTTAGAAAAAATGGTTGCGTTTTTTTTTTTTAGTTTTTTTTTTAACTTGCAGACGAAACGCATCGTAACTACTAATATTGATGATTTTCCAAAGCTACTTGACGATTACATGCATTGATCCAGATGTAGTTGTTCCTGGAGGTTTTCAGCGTGCGCATTGTTTTCAAAGGAAGTGGGCAGATCGTGGTCTTTCACTGGCTGTAACCACTAATACTGATGTTTTTCAAAGCTCATTTCGAAAACAGAAGAACTTTCTCTGGATGAACAAATGAAGCATCCGTGTTTTGATCCGGTTAAACAATGACTTGGATCCGAAAAGCGCGCTCTTGAACTGGTGATAAAAGTTCAACCGCCGCCAAGCGGATGACCAACAGCCAGTTTTACGGTGTTGAACGACGTCACCCACCTGGCAGTAGAGGCCGCACTCCATGGCCGAACAGGCGCTCGCGTCGTGGACGAACCGAAACGTTCACGGCTCAGTGAGTTTGCAGGAATTCGCCACCGGCGTCAACTTTCCCCGCAGAAGAGGGCTTGTCTTCGCAGTTTTTCCATCCGGAGGGCGTATGGCTGTCCCCGGGCTGAGCTGCATTTAAGAGCGCTGACTTTGTGACTCCTCCCACCACCCGCGGACGGCTATGGAACCTCAGTAGTGCCATAAACTCATCGGTTAGTAATGCATTACTGTAATTTGACCCCTTGTTTTAGTGACCAATACTGTTACAGTTATGTATGGTACTATATTTCACATTTTTATGTAGTAAAAACATTTATTATTGCTTTCATCTTTTGCCTTAGGGAGAAACATAACACATGAAGGCACATTTTGACATTTTCATTAAGTAAAGCAGTAAAATATTGGACATGTGACTATTCCAGAATTAAACCATCCATCTATTATCTGTTCACCCTTGTCCCTTAGTGGGGTCGGGAGGTGCTGGCGTTCCGGGTGAGAGGTGGGGTCACCCTGGACAGGTTGCCAGTCGGGAGAATTTGGAAAGACCAGTTAACCTAACAGGGAGGAAGCCGGAGAACCTGGAGAGAACCCACGGATGCACAGGGAGAACATGCAAACTCCGTGCAGAAAGGCCGGGAATCGAACCCAGGACCTTCTTGCTGCGAGGGAACAGTGCTACCAACTGCACCACTGTGCAGTCCCGAGATGGTACAAACAAGAGATATTCATGGTGACAGTCCCAACAGACCGTGTTACCTCATTCATACGGAGAACACAGACTGTTTCTAATTACATTTTATACTCTAACGGTTTCATAAGAAAGACAATGACAAAAATATGGTTACTTTTAATGTAAGATTTACTATAATCACTGTAGTGTTCATGAGTTCAGCCTTAACTCGAACAGGAAGTACCCGTGAACGGAAAACAAATGTCAGACTGCAAAAACACACAAATCTTTGTGATGATAAGACATTTTTATGTCAAAGCCACATGACCAATTCTTAATGTCTAAATATTTAATCTTTAGGGTGTTTTGCACTCTTTACTGCTTATATTCTGGGATTTTTTTTCTCAGACAACAAGAAATCATGCCATCTTATTGACTTTATTCTACTATAAAACATGCAATTTTCAGTTTTCTTGAATAAATAGTTTTTGTTGTCTGCACTTTGTAAATGATGGATTGACATGGTTTCATCCCTTGTCTTGTTCATAGAGTTCAGTCTCAACAAGAAGTCTTGCCAAAATAAACAGCAAAAAAAAAACTTTCAGGAGACGTACCCTTTCTGCTTTAGCAGCAAATCAGTAAAAAATTCAATCGTGAGGCACTTCACAAGGTCATGCTTGTCCAAGGAAGAGGCAGAGTTTTGATTATGGCTAGAAGACATATTTCTTTGTGTGGGTCACAGTTATATCCTGAGCGAGAACAGCTTTGACTTTTACTGACAGACAACACACACACATGACTGTGAAGCACTGACCATCACATTTACATACATGGAGCTCCTCAATATTTACTCTTGAAGCTAAAAGCGGTTACATTTGAGGAGCTCCTACACTGCAGATCACTTGATTGTTGACGGACAAACAAGAAATGCAAGAAATGAATGCTTACATGATGAACAGTTCACCAGCTTTCTCAAGAGCCATAATTTAGTTTGCTGACTTATTGATTTTTTTAACAGACCTTAAAGAGTTGGGGTCAAAGGAGTTTGATCTGATATATCTTCCTCCTGCTCCCCCAGTGGCCTTCAAAGTATTCACTAATGAGATAAAGTAAAGGGAGGCACAACCTAAACTTTACTGGTTATTCTGTAACTGTGCCTGCTTCATGACTCATTTTTGAACTTTAATGTCTAAAAAAGAAATAAACAATTTCACAAATCAGTATTAGTAAACAACACCATATTATAGAATCAGTGGAAGTAAAAGACATGCAACATACACTGAACTTGTTTTTTGTAAATGAAACAATAAAACACACTACAGTAAAATAAAATAAAATAAACAAATCCTGATGACCAGAACAAATGTTTTAAAACAGCAATTCAAAATGTTTGGTTTGGTCATGTTAATATTGATTCTGCAATTTTTGGCTCTACATTAATCCCAAATATGGTTCCCTTCTCTTCCTTTCTTCCTTAGCTGTTTTTAAAACCAAACTATTTTCTATCTGCTTTATGTCTTTGTTACACATTTCTCATTTGATAAAACGGTATAAGCTGCGCTACTTGTGGAGGCAGAAAAATTTGAACTCAAAACAGCAGCCCACATGCCTGTATAATCAGGGCGCTGCAGAGTCTTATCATAGTTTGTGGACACATTGTGCGGCTGCAGCCGGGAGTCAAGGTCAGTTAGGAGACAATGCTGGGGCACGGAGCACCGACGTCCCTGGGAAGCACACAATTAGAACCAGAGTCTCTCCTCCCTGCATCTCTCAAAGTATATTATCCAAACTTAAACGACCACCAGGCGATCTTCACCCTGACACATCTAGCAAATGTCCAGTAGAGAAATCGACCTCCTCCCATCTCCTTAATCACAACGGACAAGTGCAATTTTTACATTTTTGATAGGACAGAAAACGAGTTTTAAGTGCTACATAACTGATCCTAGAAATTGATTTTCCTCTTTAGGATGTGTTTACTCTGTATTTAAGTTCTTCAGTAAAATGAAGGACACTTTGGAGAATGTATTCAAGCAAACAAGCAGTTTTGGTCCACCAACCTGGTTTTTAGTCAGAAAGCATCTTTTTTTAAATTTTTTTTTTTATTTAACAGTCTGATAAAAAATGAAGTCAATGCTATAAATCACATTAAGAAATGCTGTCCATGTAAATACACATGCAAGTTTTGAGAAATATCTTAAGGTTGGAATTTTGTGCTTGTTGAACTGCAGTCATCAACTTTGTTCAATATGTTTTTTAATTGAAAGCACCATTATAAAATATGCACAAAATAAAAAAGGGAAAGATAACAGTTTTTGTCTTTCTTTTTTTCTTCTTTTACTTGTTTGATCTTATTCGTCCGTCTCTTTGATGATGGGAATCCCTGGAATAAAAAAAAGACAGTGGCTGATCACATTCAGCTGAAACCACGTGTTTACATACGTGTTACAAAAAGACAAATAACTTTTTTTGTTCGCTGTGTAATGTCCACAAATCTGGTTAAACCTCGGGTTCAATTTTCATCTGTTCAAATTGATTTAAAAGTAGAAACACAATCACTCTTTTTCTGTTCAGGGAAAGATTCTGTGTGTTTTGGTGTGTGACGTGCACATTTACTCCACACACACAAAAAAACAAGACATTGTAAAGATGCTGGTTTGTTGTTCTCCTTGCTTGTATCAACATAGACTGAAATGCCACTTTATTAAGAAGAATCCATTTACTCAAAAGCAACATAAAAGGCCCAATTGGAGGCAGTAAATGCATTCTGTAAAGAATAAAAATAATTGGGGAACATCTTAGTTTCACCGTGGCCTGATGACACTGAAACGGAAGCGTTTCATCATCATGGCCGTTGTGAGATTCAGAAATAAAAGAGGAAATTTTGCAAGCATGAGGAGTCTGTGTCAGCACAGATTTCCAAATCAGATCTCTTGGTTGGAGACAGACTAAATACGCAAAAGTAAGCATTCGTATGGAGATCGATGCCTTGAGGCTTGAGCTAAGGGAGCCTAAAGGTAGAAAGTATGCATGTGGGAAAAATATGCTAAAAGATGTTGGACAACGGAAGATAAGGTATATTCTCATGATCTATATAGAAGGCTGTGCTTTGAGATCTACAGAAACTGTTCTGTGATTCAACCGAGCTTCCTCTTGAGTCAGACGTCGTAATATGGGCTGAAGTTTGAAATAATATCTTGCGCTGTTCCACTGAAGCCATGTCTGCAGAGCCTTTTACCTCAAAGCAGCCCCACACCAGCACTTTGAAGACGACTGACAATTACTCATGATACCTGCTAATATAATCCCAAATGTGAGGCACAGCGGTGGCAGCATCATGCTGTGTGTTTCGCTGCATTGGTGACTGTCAAAATAAGGTTGAATATAGCTTATATCTTGCTCAGTGTTCAAATCGCTTAAGTAAAATATATAAATCAATGAGGAGAAAGTGTTCATGTATACAAAGTTGTGTTCTGGTTGATACTTCAAATATTATTCTTTATAATATAATCATTGTAGTAAGTAGATGACTTTTGTCATAACTGTTAGGATAATGATAACTTCTATCATGAGTAATGAACAATTGAAAATGCTGAAATGTATGTGGCATAAATTCGGAAACATGCAAGCTCGTTAATCTCACCGTCTAGTTTCTTTAGATTAGGAAGCCTTTTGGAGGCTTCGTCCATCCAGCTTCCCTCAATGGCATGCTTCTCCTGCAGCGGGTTCCCATTAAAAACCAGGTCCACCAAGCTGGGCAGGTCAGCAAGCCTCACAAACTCTGCTACATAACAAAGAGAAACCAAAGCATTTGACACTGAATGCATAAGGTGAGTTTAAAAGGAAATCCCTAAAATGATAATTTCACTAACATACATTATGACCGATTACCTAAAGAGACCAACACGGAAAGTTTCGGTAATGTAAAAAATAAAAAAAAACAATGAGTCTCGATGAGTGCAGCATACCCCAATCTTTAACAAGGTTGTTGGACATGTAGAGGACTTTCAGTTTATGCAAGGAGCCGATGCCTTTCAGTTTGTCTATTAAATTATAGGAAATCCATAACTCCACCAAAGTGTCTCCAACTGCCTCCTGCAAATACACACGTTAAGAAAATGGACAAAACGAGCGCAACTGCTGGTGAAACCAAACATATTCTGCTGGGAGAAAAATGAAACACACAAACTTTATGACACCAGAAAATTGACTTATTTAGTATTAATTCAGGATTGAAAGTAACTTACCAACCCTACAAGACTTTTTATATTATTTCTGCTTAATGAAAGTATCTTCAAGTTCTCTGAAACGACATAAACAATGAATTAGTTCAAGTTTTCATTTCTTGTACAGAACAGCGCCTCTGAGTGAAATTAATCTAGCAGGTAGTACTCACTGAGGGCATTCAGATTGGTTATTTTCTCAATAGCGTTTGTGGCCAGAGACAGCTTCCTAAACAGAGCATGGGACAAAAAAATATTAAGGTATGTGAAGGACGAACTCAGTTAAATCTGATTCACCGCTAAAGAGTATTTTGTTTCACAAGTCAATAAACGCACTTGGTATCATTTTGGAAATTGATGAAACAGAATTAAATAGCTGCTCAAATCGAACTGCTGCATGAAAAAGAGATTAATAGTAATCAACTAAGGGAAATCATTCTATTGGAAGTGTGAGTGAGCGCATGTAGCAGATCGATACAGTCGCTCTTTACAATAACCTTACGTAGTTTCTCACGAAACGTATGTCATTGTATTTTTGGCTGGAAATATTTCTAAACAGGCTCCTGTAGTCTTTCTGTCAAGCAAGGATGCTCCATACAAACCATACAAACAGGACTTACTCGCAATTGCCCAAAGCATTGAGAGAGTTATCCATCTTCTCGATGGGGGGTATCAGACCGTACAGTTTAACTTCTTTAGCCTCACTTGGTTTCTCTCCGCTCTTCTCTTCCTGCAGCCACAAAATATCCAAAACAGCAATTCAATCAACACATGCCCACCTAAAACTATTACTTGTACTAAAGTACTTGTTTCATACAATTGCTGTGTTTCTTTGTTTGGACTCTGTCCTCCACTTACCCATTTGCTTAGAGCTTCTTTCAAGGTGGTTGGCTTGGCCTGCAGACATGACATGAAACATCATTAAACATCAGGCGAGGCTCTTATGAAATGATGATAGACCAGAACAGGAGAAGGTAACCACGGCCAGCTAGCAACGTCACAACACAAACACTGACATCAACACCCCGACATTTTAAACACGCTGGATCACAGCCGTTACTAATGCTGGTTCTTCATCCCGACACACAGCAGAAAACTGCATTTGACGTCGTTCAGTGAACGCAAGCACACACAATAAACCAGACTTCATCGAGCTGATGCTAGCCAGCTATCAGCTGCTAATAAATTGAGCTTCACAGCCGAACCGGTGCGCCTCCGCTGGGAGAGGCTGAACGACCGTCTCTCTCTGTGGCAACACTTATCGACAGTAATAAATAACCAAACAGCGAGTGAAATAAGCAGAAACTACAGGGATTTACCATGTTGACCGCTGATGTCTGCTCTGGGGCTAACAGCTGCCAGTAGGCTCTGGTTACTATGGCACCCACAAGCTGCGCCTGCGCACTGTGTGCACTTCCACAGTTTTGGGAGCATTTAAGTTTTTTTTTCTCTCTACATAAACAAAATAAATAAAGAAATAACTTGATAGTATAAATAAACAATTTAGCTAAAATAAATAAATGAATAAAATAAAGTAATAATTATTAATAAATAAAATATATTTTAAAGCAAAATTAAATTAATTTAACGCTCCTGTTCGTTTCTGAGGTACCGCAATAATGTTCCTGGGTCAGTTTGATCCGGGGAGTTTCTCATCATGCAATAGTGTCAGAAACCCAGAAAATCCTCCAAAACATTCTTGTATCTGATTATTAACTCCAATACTAAATATTTCAATCGATATTTGTGCAAGGATGTTTTGTTTTTATTTCTCGCAAATAAAGGATCAGTTACGACATCTTACTCATTTTCTCATTTGGACATAAAAAAAAAATTATAAAATTTTTATGTCCATTGAAACAAACAACAATTATCCTTGAGATTGATCTTTTGTACGATTTTTTATCTTACATTTTGAAATTTTTTTTTTCAATTTTTATAATTTAAATTGAGACACATATTATGTTCTGGGTCAAATTGACCCTCTGATTAAAATGAAGACAAATGAGTCACGCAGAGAGTATTCATGATTCCTCCTAATTATACTGACTGTGAAAGAAGATAGGAAGAGTAAATATTTCTCTCTGTTGAAAGAGGGGGTTATATTTACAATGTCTGTCACAACCTTGATAACAGAAGAAACAGCCAAATGGGCCCTACAAGTTTCATGCTGTTTGCTTTGATAAGGAGTCGCTTAGTGGAAGTGTATTCAGGGAAGCGTGATCAAAGAAATCTTTTACTTTTGGTTTGTTTTTACAGTATTGAATGCCAAAGTAAACTTAAAACACTGTAAATAATGCAAATGCATTTGCTAATTCTTTGCAACAACTACAAATCAACACTTTCAAGTAGAAAAAAGGGAGACGATATGAGCAGGTAGTTGTCAAAGTCAGATTATTTATTGAACAGAGCTGACACAGTTGGCAAATTCTTCTCTTGGATCAAACACACACACAACCCTCACCCATTTCACACTATCACTCTCTCTTTGTCGCACTCTCACATACACAGACACGCACGCATGCGCCCGCACGTCTACAAAATAAAACCTACTGAAAATGACATTTAGTGAAAAACAGAAGCAACTACTGGCCAAAACAAACAAAAGGAATTTAAGCCCATAACAGCAATTAACAACATGTAAGGACATCAGATCTTCCAGTGTCGCGTGGAGGATTTTCAACAGCAGAAAACACAAATTCTGGGAAAATTTTAGCTGTACACCACAAAGCAAAACACATTTTGACATACTACAGACAGATCTTGGCCAACTCATTGCTTCTGGAACAAGCATAACACTTACGGAGAATGAAAAACTCACTCAACCGAAAACAAAGTCTGAAAGTTGAAGGAGTGATGAATGTTCAGAGAGATTTAAAGGATGAGGATGCTCTCCTATACAAAACAGGTTTTTTTTTCAGCACAAATGGAATACGAAAATAAAAAAGGAGGTAACAAAGTCATTTAGCCCTTAAGTCAAACTTTTCAACATGCTTTTGTTCTTAATCTTCTATATAGCCGAATCCTCTTGTTCTTCATTCTCATTTTGGTGATTATTCTTGTTGGACATTTCAGTCCTCAAATTTTAAAAAAAATCTAAATCTCTGAAGACAGAGTTTCTACTCAACGCAATTTTATTCCATCCTACCCCACAACCCACAAACTTTAAAGTTCCCGTCACCTCCCGACTTCCAGACCCTTCGCCCGACGCCCGGATCTACTCTCCATTCAGTCCCATCATAGCTCGTCATGGGCCGCTTCGTCTGCTTTGAGTTTGAACTCTTCTTCCGTTATCTTTCCATCTCCGTTGCGGTCTTGGTTAGAGAACATGTTGTCTATAATGCGATAAGGATCGAAGCCAGGGGCCAGGCGGCCTTTGCCTTCGTTCACCTGCTGCATGATGTAGTCGGTGAACTGCAGAGACGAGGGGGGATGCGTTAAAAAAAACAGATGGCAAAGAAGAAGTTAATCCTAAAACCTATGAATGTATACGTTCTCGGTACCTCAGAGGGCTCCACTTCTCCATTTTTGTCCTTGTCCATCTCAGTAAAAAGGCCTGGGGGCACTTCGTCATTCCAGATAAACATGTAGCCCTCAGGGAGTCCGTCCTCTATCTCGACCAACTCAACGTCAAACAGCATCACTGCACTTCCTGGAACCTGGTCAGCTGCAAAACACAACATTATCACAATGTAATCTGACACACAAACAAGCCAAGTTAACGGAAAACTCATGAGGATGTCGTCTAATTATGTAACTGATTTAACATAAAAATCCATCACTGTCAGTATTTTTACAGCTGCTTTCCTCCAGTCCAAACTGACTGGTGGAGGAATATTTGGATGCTTTTACTTACTGACTCCTCTCTCTCCATATGCGAGGTGAGGGGGTATGAGAAGACGTCTCTTCTCCCCCACGCACATGTCCAGCAGCCCGTCCTCCATGCCCGGCACCACCTGGTTTGCCCCCAGGACAATGTTGTATGTCTTTCCATAGCTGTGCCTGAGTCAGAGCAGAAAAAAAAAAAAACTATTGTAAAGAATTTGCATTTTCTTATCCTCGAAATTATTTGTCTTTAATATAACTACATGTTTTGCTTCTTTCTTCTATTACAACCCTCTTTTCATAATGACGATTAATACTAAACTTAAACTTCTGATGCGTATGGTGCCTCTTAAATAGAGAGATAATGTTTGTTCTGTTTTGGCTTCTCTTCATTGGCTGCATGAACAGAATTGAATATTTTGTGTTTTGTATTAAAAGCCCTTAATAACCAAGCTCCATCATACATCAGAAATCTGATTGTTTCTTATGTTCCTAATTGAGCACTTTGCTCTGAGACTGCAGGTTTACTGCAGGTTCCTAAAGTTTTTAAAAGTAGAATGTGGGGCAGTTTTCTAGGCTCCAGGTTCCTTCCTTGTGGCACCGGCTCCCAGTTCTAGTCCATGAGGCAGAAACCCTGTCCACTTTCAAGACTGGGCTTAAAACTTCTTTTTTAACACTACCATTTTTTAATAAAGTCTACAGTTAGGCTGGCTCCACTTTATATCACATTCTCCTTCTGCTATTTTCCAATTTTCTGCTATTTCAACTTCTTGTTTTCACTCAGTTTTTTTTTTCTCTCTCCACAGAAGCGACCTCTGGTCTGGCTTTCAAGGATGGCATCAGCTGAGATAACGCAGTCACCGACTAATCTTTCTCCCTCTCCTGCTATCAAGTTTTGACTTTCATGAACATCAACAATAATCCCACGTCAGCTCATCTGATCCTTCTTGCACATTCTGCTCTGTTACAAAAGAAACCATTGAAACAATTGCCAAAGCAGCCATCAAGGGAACGAGTCGGTTTGCCAAGGCATTCGGCCTCGTTTGAAGTCACTGCTGCTGTCAAGGTCGCCCAACTGTTTTCCATCTGGGAAGCAGAGCAAAAAGTCTCTGCAGGCAGTGAAAGGTCTAAAAGTTCATGAAACGGAAAGCTTAACCTATTCATTTGGCTCATTCAGGTGTGTAGATAAGCTATTTACTCCCAGCCGACTGATATATTTAGTAAGATATTATCAGTTATGTAAACATTTCATGGTATTTTAATGTTTAATGTTTAATCCAGGTTTGAAGTGAGGCAAAACTGGATTACCTAACCCCCTGCAAAATTTCTCAGTTTTTTCCCAGCAGTAGTTCCTTTGCTGCAGTGACGGTCTGGGGTCACTGCAGCATTTACCTATCTTCACAGTGTGAAGGATTTCCTCACACATGTTTACCAAAGTGAGCACAGATTATTTCTTTAAATAAAGCACATCGTAGTAACCGCTGATTTAAACACTCCGGTAGTAAATTGAGGTTTTCTTACAAGTTTTCAGAAAAACCTCAACAGGTTTACATACGTGGAGTCGATGGGCGTCCCGTCCAGCAGGGTGCCATTGTAGTGATATTTGATGAAGTCTCCCTTCTTTGTTTGCTTATCACATTCTTCAGGCTTGTGGGTGACCGTCACCTCGGTGTTGTCTGATGGGTTATGAAAGTCGATCATGTGGACGTCAAAGACGAGCACAGCTGAACCAGGGATCTTGGAGCCTGACGGAAACGTGTCATTAAATTAGAAAAGAGTTTAATATGACATGAAGCAAATAAGAAACATAAAAAGCAAGAAGAATATTTTCGACACCTACCTGTGCCCTCCTCTCCGTAGCCGAGGTGTGGTGGAATGGTGATGGTTCGTCTTTCACCAATGCAAACTCCAATGAGACCCTCGTCCATGCCGGCGATGACGTACCCTCGACCCACATACGTGTCGTAGGTGCGATTACGAGAATAACTGGTAAACAGATAATGGCGCCATTGTGAGTACAAATAAAAACAAGATGTTATCATAATCACTTCTCACATTTATGGGTCTTTGTATATGCAATAAAGGTGGAAACTATCTTGGCTTAATACAAAATTAAATAAGGACAAATTCAGCAGTACAGTGTCTTCAAGAAATATTCACATTTTGTCACATTACAGCTACAAACCTTGGTATATTTTATTGTTCTGTATGATAGAACGACTCAAAGTATAGCTGTGAAATGGAGGGAAAATGAGCTTTCAAGTGTTGTTGCAGATATATATGTGAGGCATACGCATTTAGAGTTAAGGAGATTCTCTTGTTTTGTGTGATAATTTAACCTTTGCATTTCAGCCACGCTTTCCACAACAATGCAAGTAAAAAAGAGGTAACTCTTTACCCAGTCAGAGCAAAACAGGAGTTGCTGCTTCTGCAGAGGAAGACAGACCAAAGACTGTTCCCTTTGTCATACACACCTCTTTATGCAACATGCTCTAACCACAGGGCTGTGGGCGGCCAGCAGTGAATGCACTGCAAGCACAGATTGCTTTGAAGAAGCATATAAGCAATA